ATAAAGCAATTTAGCCTTTGAAGATTAAAGAAGTGCTTAAAATTCAAATGAGCTTTAGCAAATTATCAGTAAGATTCATCCAAAAAGCAAAAGGGTTTTCTTCCTATGATTTCCTTATTTTTATAATGCAAAATTGTTGTATCTTTCAGACTGAGCTTAAACCAAACACAGGGCTTCAAGTCAAGCCAAAGGGGCTAGAGACAAACAGAGGCAGAAAACATTGTTATGGACTCTGTTCATAAAACTAAGCCCTTAAGAGCCAAACCTATCTCTAAACATGGTAATTTATCAAAAGCAGCACAGACTTGCTCATAGGCAGTATTGTGTGCTGCTCTCAGAGAGCAGATTAACAAGATTTCCGCCACCCTCCAAAAAAGCCTTTTTAGCCGCAAGTCACATCTTCCGTGTAAACGTCAAATGTATTATAAAAACATTATTTTCATCAAAGTACAGTGGTATTAATTTTAAAAAGTTTGTGCATGTAGGAATGGGGGGAAAAGGCGCACATGCTGAACTGTGTAATAAAGGAAGTTGGTTAATTTCTGATGTGTGTAAATCCAGTCAATTTGGCACTGGGCATCTAAATGGATCATACAGATGTCAGCTGACAATCAAGAAGTTTGTTCTGCTGTTAGTCGACATTGTGGGATCTGCAATTATCAGCCTTTCAATGTGGACCAGGCTCTTGGGCACGATCCTGTAAGCACCTACTGTGAAGCATGTTTACCATAGTGAGTAACCCCCTAGACATCAACAGGACTAAACACGGCTTATGCTGCTATGAACAGGGCTGCTAACAGGAGCAAGTGCATACAGGATGGAGCCAAATATTCACAGCTAAAGCCTACAGTGCATTTAGGTATTGATTTAAGAATGTAGATATTCTAAGGAACCAAGTTTTGTGAATGAAGCAGGGATTGTGTTTTTTGCCTTCAAGGTGAACTGGCTTTGAAGGATTACAGAACATTCAAATAATTTATATTCCCCCGCCCCACACCTCAGACTATATTCCAGAACTTTTCTTACCTGCAAGCTTTTAGAACAAAAAAGAGACTGGCTACTATTTATGTTCCTTTGATCATTTCTTCTCCTTGTGTCTTATTCACCAACTATTCACATTTTAACATTTATTAGAAAAAATAGAGTTCAGTACTGCGTGAAAGCCGCATCAACAAACATCTGTATCAGCCACAGGTCTCCAGTTCTGACCAATTCTCTTTGACACTAACATTACTTTACATGAGTAGAGTTCAATGAGTGCTGATATGGGATATGACAGGGTAAATCAGAATTAGATTAAAAACAAAAGTTTAGAAACCAACACTATGCTGCCAAGCAAATGGCTCTTGAAGGCCAAATTTCTCAAACTGCCTTCAAGTCATTTCCCCTATTAGATTTTTTTTCTCTTTCTCTGCTTTTAAAGCAGCTCCAGTGCACAACAGTAAAATTATACATAAGGACTCTAAATATTCCTAAAATAAAGCAATTAACTTATTTCCAGAATTCTGCAAGCAATCGTGACAGACTACCCTGAACAGAAAGCAGGAGTCGTGATCCCTGACCCTCGGCCAACACAAAAGAGGCAGCCCTAGTACAATGCCTGCTGTCAGCAACTGAATTATTTTTATACAGGAATTTTTATCTCTATTGTACAAACAAGTATGTGTCTGTGCTGACTTGTTAAGCAATCCACTTGTATGTAGAATAAGATTTTTTTTTCTGCTACCAGTCACACAGCTCTAAGATCAGAAGAAATACACAGTCTTTGAAGCTCCTCAAATGTTTTAGTTAAAAGGACAGCAGTTGTTTTCAAAGATCCAAGAGTATCTTTATCAGAATTTAATTTTTCCTTATTGATTTTTTCTAACATAACACAAATTTAACATAGGACAGTTTACATTTATTACAAAATAATACAACCATTAAATAATTCTTTAGGAGGTAACATTCTTTTTTAAAATGCAGACAACACAACTTTTAATTTGCTCGCAGAAAACGGAGACCCACAATAATGTTTCTTTTGAATAAGACTATTAAAAAAATCAGCAACAATAATAAATGATTTCATGTCACTGATTACACCCAAACAGTAAATGTACACTTTACAAAAACGGGTTGAAGTGCAATGACTTAGTTGATTTTTTTTCCAAAAAATAAATTCAGTGACCAGAATACAACAGGGTTCATACAATGTCTGATTCCTAACTGTGAGGTTGATGGTGTGGCCAGGTAATATTTGATGGCAAATTAATTGCTATGATCTTTGCAGCATTTTTATTTTTTTCAGCTTGCATTTTGTATTTAATTGTTCACTAAATCAATTAAGTGATGAATGTAAAATTGGACTCCTTGCGTTTTGAGGGATAAGATGGTACAACTTCTGTTTAATAAAAAAAGGAAGAATAATAACAAAAAAGCATCAGTGTTCTTCAGGTCTCTGTCCTTTCACAATAATTCTATTCCTGATATAGGCAGAGGTTTTTTATCAGAAAAGTGATTTCTATCTAAAGCTAAGATACAATTGTAGATGTAATTGTTCAGCTCTTATGTTAACAGGAAGGACACAAACCAAAACTTGTTGTTTCTGACTGGCCAAATCTCCCCAGGTATCTATCTCTTCATTAACATACATGTTCAAGTATTCCAGTGTGAATTCAATGACTGAAACCGATTCAGACCTAAATAATACGCTCACAACGCCTACCTGTAAGGGCACAGTCTAGCAGTGAAGTCCTCAGTTATTTCAGAGGAAGCTTAAGCTTATTTCCTTGGTGGGTGGGGGTGTCTAAAACCTTGATATGTTATAAGTAAGAAAAAAAAACCCAAGCCTAAATTGGTTTATATGTACCCATCAAATATGGAAAGGTGTTGTTTTACAGCAACCTGTTCAGGTAAAACTTCCAACAGAATTGCATCAGATAAGCTTGCAGAGATCTCCAGAGAGAACAGAAAGAAGAAACACTTTCATTCACTGTCTGCAAACTTAGAATTCAACAGCTTTTTGGCAGCCAATTTGTTTCAAGTGTTTTGTTTCAGGAAACGTGTGTATTTTTCTTTGTACATTTTGTGGATTTACTACAACTGGTTCTGACAGCTGTTGATTCTGTTAAATGAACACATTATTAAAAAACCTCTAACATCCCTGAGCTGAGGAATACACATTTTAATAGAGTTTAAATTGTGAACCTCCAAGAATGTACAAATGAAACCTGTGTGAATACTAACTCAGTTACTCTGGATTTCAAGCAAGGCTTGTTCTTACAGTAGGGGGTAAGAGACACTGCGGTTTACTACATATGTTAACCGTATTTTGTTGGTTTCAATCATATATAGATGCAAAAAACAGGAAAATCAACATTTAAGTATTAAAAATCAATGCACGTTAATAATTTGCTAATAAAATACTCAAGTGATTGACATTAATATGTTCCAAATAATTCTGCTAGGTAGTATATGCATTTTTTCAGAAAGGAAAAAAACAACTATATGAAATGAGGAGAGAAATAAGTGGATGTTTTCATTTTGCCCTAGATCAAAGGAAAACAAGAATGGAAACTGTGGCATATTGAACATTTTTCCACCGCTGTCACTCACACTAGGCTATCTAAGTTTTATACAATTCCCCAGACTAGCTGCATATTAAGCTTGCTGTGTACAGCTTTATTATAGTGTGGTAGTGAGGAAACATTAATATTCCTGTGTTGCATCTGACAGGACATTTACATGCGCCCATCTGAGCTCACACCTGAGAGCTGCTCCAAGGTACAGTAACTGTGCTCCTATTGTAAAGGCAAATGAAGAACACAAATTCCCTGCTGGGATCAGGGCTGACCTCACCACACCCCACACCTCAAACCTTTCCCTTGCCAACCTAACTCAATGCCATCTCAGAATGACGAATGAGCTGAGGAAAAGACACCAAGTTACTAACCCTCTAAGAACAGCAAAAAGCCTCTCTGAAATATTTTTAAAATGCATAGCAACTGCAGCTGGCCAATAAAGGTTGGGAAACAAACTCAGTGAACCCAATACAGAATATGCTGCATACTAAAACTGATTAGAAATACAGGATGCTGTGTTAACCATGCTTCAAAATGGGTTTGGCATTAAAGCAGCCTGGCTTTAATAATGGGGGTTACTTTGCTTTGGTCTGGGTATATGTTATGAGTTGCTATCTCAGACCCTAACTCTGTATTTAACCACAGCTGTAACTTTATGCACATGAGGAAAGCCGTTGACTTCAGCTTGATTACTCACCTGCATAAAAATAAGTGTATGAGTAAATCTTAGAATGGTTGGGGCTGGAAATAAACTATTTCAGAGGAAATTCATTTTGTAATGAATACTAGTAACAATAATAAAGTTTGGGAATAAATTAATTAGCCAATTATGTAAAAAATGATATAAAAATCCCAACCACTGAGTTATTTAAAGTGAGCACTATGGGCCCTATCCCAGGACCCGTCCTATCACTAGCAACAGGATTGGGTCCAATGTAATTTGTGCAAATTCGGATTAAACATGCTTATTTGTCTAGAAAAAAAAATCAGTGAATTTTACAGCCATGCTAGAAATAGCAATACAAGTCTTAATGTATTAAAATATATGGTCTGGATATATTTTATGAATGCCTGCAATATCTTTCAAATTGGCACATAAAATAAAGACCTCCTAGATGGAAAACTGTATTGAAAATGTGTACCAAGTTAAAAATAAAAACTCCTTGTAATAACAACATTGCTGACATAGCCATGACCCAAATGAAATCTGAACAAGCAGAAAGGTACTAAAGATCCTTAGTGATTAGATCTCATGTTAAAAAAAGTGGCAAAGTGCCAGGCCATGTCCAGCTTGATGCTAAATGCCTTTTATTGCAAAAGCTGGTCCTACTGGATACAAAAACAGACCAAAGTTTGAAATTAATTTTATCAACATTTTTTTTACATATTAAGGCACTGAGGAAGGGAGCTGTACAAAGACAGTCAAACGGAAACTGAATTCACATTGCCTGACAGTCCCAAGTCTCCTTAATTGTCTTTCTTTACTGCATGAATTAAAAAGGAAATTCAAATTCTCAGAGTTATATGTACAAAATGGTGCAATGCCAAAAGGTTTCCTTCTCTTTTAAATAAAAAAATTGTGGAAATCTTTAAGTAAAAACATCTCCCTATTTTAAAGTGCTTCATTTCCCCCCTCTCTTGCCTGCCACACCTCCCATAACTCAATCTTTATCAGTTAGCCTAGCAACACAGGACCTTATGTTTATTGAGTAAATTATTTTCAAAGGTTGTTGGGCATAATATTAATAGGCACCTTTTCATACCTAGGCTAATCCTAAATGTTTGCTAACCTGACTTCCACCCCAACATTTTGTATCCAACTGCATTTGAGCCCATGGTGAGCTTTACAATAAAATGTCACAACTGATAGAGGAAAGAATGCAAAACATATTTCTAACCCTCTAAACAAAAATATGTGATTGGCAGGAGACAGTAATGAGGTGATTAAAGGAATTTCAATACATGTGATGCTTTCCTGGAATAATCATGCCAAATCAAAAGAAAACTTTCTACACTTTGCTTCTGCACTTGAAGTGAACATATATTTGTATTTCCAGTAAAAAAAACAAAAAACATTTTTGTATTAACTGCCTGTAAAAGCAGAGAATAGAAAAATGAGAACAATCTTCACTTCATACAAAGGATGATCTTCATATCACGTGGCTGTTTCTTCAAAACTGTTATTTGTAAAACCCAACAAGGAAAATGCACACAGTTGAATTTTTTGGGTGTCCCTGAAAAAGCAAATTTGGCCAACTTTCGGATCTCTTCCGTTTTAATATTCCTCCCTGCCCCCCAGAAGTGAATTTTGCAGCCGTGCAGGCCACTGTGTTTAATTAAGCTTTCAAAAGTCCTCTGACAATGCCAACAATTGAAAGACACTTCTGTAGCTCAATCATGCAATCGTTGTGACAGTTCTATTTACAATTTGTCTTAGAAAGAGTTTCTCTGACATTGTACTTTGACAAAACATCCAAGCTGCCAGTTCACAACCTTTCTCTGTCTTATTTACAAATACAGCTTGTATGCAGAACTAAAATTCTCACAAGCATGAGTCTCTGCATAGTGACCTCACAAATTTTCCCTCTTGCCAAACCCGGTGTGCACCATTAGCAACTTTTGCACTGAACAATTAAAGGTAATATTTAGTCAAAGGGGGTTTTTTTTCCTTTTTTTTTTCTTTTTTTAATGCACAAACACAGTTAAGCTTTTTCTAGCTCACTGAATAGCTGCAATACCAGCTATTTAGTTCAGATTCTATCATTTTTATCTGAAACAAGGCAAAATAATAATACGGAATTGCAGTTTATGCACGGCAGACTTATATCAGTCCCTGCTAACAGTGTACCAAGAGAATGTCTGTGGTACATAGATTAGTCAAAAAAATTCCTTTTTGTGAACAGTAACAGTTAACATACCTTGTTTATCATTTAATAGCACACTAAGTCCATTTTCCATTCAAGTATTAATTGTAAAATTATTTCCTAAATTTAATTTCCTTGTGTTATTTAAATATAACAGGCATGGACGGGGAAATATACAGGCAGCAAAAGTGACCTCCTCTTCCTCTCTTTCTTTGTACAGTAGATACTGTACTCAAGGATATACAAGCATCTAAGTAAATGTGAATATATGTTACATTCTAAGGAAGTCCAGCTGGACTGACATAATTTATAAGTTCCTTTTCCACCCAAAATAATAATCTTTCATTAATTTCTACAGGTTTATATATTCAACAGACAAAACACCAAAACCTGACACTGGTGCGCTATAAATATTTCTTTAGCCTTTTCAATAAGTGAACAGCAATTTTACATTCACTGATCTCGAGATACTTCAGTTAATATTTTCCCCCATTGTAAAATATGAGACTGGATAACTAAACCCCTGCCGTAGCACTCACTGCAAATCACAGACTGCTGGTATCTGGTGGTGAGTGTTTGACATACATATTGATGAAAGCTGCCTCATTGGACCCACACAACATATCCTATTAATTTTCAGTTAAATTTATGACATTTCTGCCATAGCACTGGATCAACATCACTCTTTTTTTTTTTATATCATCAAGGCTGTGTGCGAGCACACATACACATATGCACATCTGTGACTATGTTTTACATATATGAAAACATACATATGCAAACAAACTATTAATATTATTCTTATCTCTGAAAAAGGGTTAGGAAGAAGAGAAGCCTAGATTGTTTCAAGATAGATGAGAATGATTCAGTGCTTTATTTCTTGTCTCTGGATACACTGATCCCTAAGAATTACTTATGTTATGGAGATGTTCTTTTACTGTTATGCACCAGCTTATTGACTACAAAATGGCACACAAAGCATATGCTGTATCCACACCTAACTTATAACATCTCCTTCTATAAAACAGTTAACTGATTGCTTTTTACATTATGATTAAATATTATATATATATATA